CTGCTGTCTCCACCAGCAGCAGGCAGCCGCCCCCCACCTCCCTATACACCCCAAACACCCCCCAGCAGCGCAAGCTGTGTAGACACCGCGGCCTACTAGTACCTGCTGCTGCTGCTGCTGCTGCTGCTGCGGGAGGAGAAGCAGACACGTGCAAGTCGCTGCAGCAGCTACTGCTCCCGCCGCTGCTGCTGCTGCTACTGCTGCTGCTGCTGCTGCTGCTGGCGTCTGGGTGAGCTGCAGCAGGGTCTATGCGGTGTATGTACACCTCAGCACCGCCCGGCCGCCGCTGCAGCAGCCGCAGACAGTCTGCATACACCTCACACTCAAAGGGTGGCTCCAGCAGCAGCGAGGCATCCATTGCCTCTAGCCCCCATTCATACACGATCAACACACTACCTCCGCTGCTGCTGCTGCTGCTGCTGCTGCTGTTGCTGCTGCTGCTGCTGCTGATGCTGCAGCAGCAGCAGCACCCGCTGCTGCTGCTGCTGCTGCTGCTGCTACGGGTACTACGTGTACTCTGTGCTGTCTCCCCACACACTAGGGGGTCTTCGGGTCGGTGTAAACACACACTGCTAATCACCGCAGCAGCAGCAGCAGCTGCTGCTGCTGCAGCAGTTGCTGCAGCAACAGTTGCTGCTGCTGCTGCTGAGGCCCCCCTTCGTCGCTGCGAAGGCCTGAGGGGCCCCACAGCAGCAGCAGCAGGACAAGCTTGGCCCTGGTTCCCGCTGCAGCGTCAACAGCAGCAGCCCCTGCTGCAGCTGCAGCTGCTGCTGCTGCTGTTGCTGCTGCTGCGTGAGGCCTGAGCGTGCTGGCTGTTTGTGTGTGGTGTGTCTCTGCTGCTTGTCTGCTTCTTCTGTCTCCTTTGTTTGTCTCCTGTCTCCTCTCAGCTGCTGTGTTTGAGTCAATTAAGATGTATATACAGCTGGAGAAACATATGCTGCTCCGCTGCTGCTGCTGCTGCTGCTGCTGCTGCTGCTGCTGCTAGGCAGCTGCTGCGCTGCAGCCTGTTGCTGTTGCAGCTAACTGAATACACCAACTCCTCTTGCTGCGGCTGAGGCGTGTTTTGTTTATTTTTTTTTAATAAAAAAAAAGACAAAGACAAGCCAGCATCGCCGCTATGGTCGCATACAAGCTGCTGCACATGCCGCGGCTGCTGCTGCAGCAGCAGCAGCAACAGCAGCAGCAGCAGCAGCAGCAGCAGCAGCAGCAGCATGCAGCATGCAGAGGCCCCTGGGGCCTTACTCAACGAAAGTCTTTGAACTGCAGCCGTTTCATGTTCGGTTCGTTAGGTTATTCAGCGGAGTTTGCTGTTGCTGCTGCTCTGCTGCTGCTGCTGCTGCTGCTGTTGCTGCTGCTGCTGCTGCTGCTGCTGTCGCTGCAGCAGCAGGACCCATCCCCTCTGAGTCAGCAGCAAAGTTGTGGAGGCCCCCTCTCCCGAGGGGCCCCCTGCTGACCCTGAGGCCCCTCATCTTGGGGGCCCCCGTCAATGGCAGCAGTTGTTGCGCTTCAGCAGCAGCAGCAACACAGCAGCAGCAGCAACGGCCACACCAGCAGCAGCAGCAGCAGCGGTAGCAGCAGCAACGGTATCCGCAGCTGCTCCAGTAGCTGCTGCTGCAGCAACAACACCCAAGGCCTCCTCAGGGGCCCCTCGGCCCCATAGGGGGGCCCCTAAACCCTATCAACAGCTGCAGCACAGAGCTGCTGACGATGAGTCAGCAGGACTCACGTTCGCAGCAGCAGCAACATGCTGCTGCTGCTGCTGCTCCTGCTGCTGCTGCTGCTCCTGCTGCTTCTGCCGGCGGGACCCTTTCGTCGAGATCTTTGAGTCCCCCCGAAGCAGCACGGGGCCCTGCTGCTGCTGCAGT